CAGCCTGGGTAACAGAGTGAGACTCCATCTCAAAAAATAAACAAATTTGCACTCCAGCAAATTTTATTGAGACTCTGTCTCAAACAAACCACACACACACACACACACACACACACACACACACACACACACACACACACACACACAGAGAAATGACCAAACTCTACTGTACACTCAGGTAAAAAAGGATGGCTGCCGGCCGGGGGATGCCACAGAATGCCTGTGACTCTTGAGTCGGGGGCGCACAGAGGCTTCTCTTTGTGAACCTGCCAAGTATATGCTCAGCTTTTGTTTTCAAGAAGGCCTTTTTAAGTCAAACCAGAATTATTTGGGCATAATAGGTGCTCAGTGAATTTATTAGTTGAATTGTTACTTTCTAGGAGAAAGCATAGATTCATTTAAAGGTGTTTCAAGTCAACCAGAAACAAGGGCATGATTTAGTTCATGGAGAATTTAGATTAAAAAATATATTTAGAATATTTATGAGTTTACAAAGTTAGTATCAAAATGCCACTTAAAAATATGCTTAATAGGCTGGGCGCGGCAGCTCACGCCTGTAATCTCAGCATTTTGGGAGGCTGAGGCAGATGGATCACCTGAGGTTGGGAGTTTGAGACCAGCCTGGACAGCATGGTGAAACTCCATCTCTACTAAAAATGCAAAAATTAGCCAGTCCTGGTGGTGCATGCCTATAGTCCCAGCTACTCGGGAGGTTGAGGCATGAGAATCACTTGAACTGGGAGGCAGATGTCGCCGTGAGCCGAAATTGCACCACTGCACTCCAGCCTGGGCCACAGAGCAAGACTCTGTCTCAAAAAAAGAGAAAGAAAAGAAAAAAAATTAACAAATCAGGAATCACTGATTGTCTCTATGTATCCGCCTGCATTCCACGTGCTCTGCTGTGTCGACTCTGCATGAGTCTCTTAGGAACCGACTCTCCAAGTAGAATTCAGCCCCTTTTCCTCTATCCATGTTTATTTCTGAGTTCTCATTTCTTAGAGCTTTACGAAGAACACGAAATAGCAATTATTCACCCATAATAGGCTCAAGACATGGTCAGAAGCATGTTGAATCCTGACTTTTGTGTGATGTATTTTACATGTCTTAGACTGATGTGAGCTAATAGATCGACCGCTGCCGGCATCTTTCCTGGTTCTGCTGGTCAGTTACCTTCAGCGTTTCCAAAGGATGCTAGTTTCGGCGGGGAAAGAAGGGACGTTATTCACCCACAACGACAGGATCAAATTAGCGTGAAAGTGGTAGGCTCGGGACACAGGGTGCACTTCAGCAGCTAGACCAGCTTAAGTCTCAAGACCGTAGTTATTCTTTATTTGCACAGTGATATTGCAACACTTTATGAAAAGGAAACCAAAGGAGAAAGACAAAAATATCATCCACATGCTAGTACAACGTAGGATCTCACCGTGTGCCCCAGGGTCAGTGTGAGTCAGAAGATTCCAACCTAATGTTTCTTTGTGGCTCCCATGGCGCCAGCAACTTGGTCATTTTGTGATCACAGCGTTTGAGGACTTGAGAGCTCCCCGTTTCCGCCTCCTCATCTTCATCGTTGTCCTCCCCTTCTTCGTTTTCCTCAGGATTTTGTGCAATATTGCCCCTAAATGCACACCAGTTAATTCAGCTGGTGTTCAGCTGAGTACGTAACTATTTCATTGCTGGAGTTAAAAAAAAAAAAAAAAAAAAAAAGGCTAGGTTGGATTTGAACTTCGTTCTATGGTACCGTCTGGATGGTTTAAGAGATTGTCAAGGGTGATTTTAAGTGTACTTGATTTTCATGTACTTCCTGACTTTGTCATCAATGCCCTAAGTAAGATGTGACTCCATCTTCCATATAAATGCAGCGCAGAGGGGTGACAGAGACAGGCTCAAAAAAAAAGGGGGCGATTTTGAGAGGCTGTGGTGTGGTGGGAACTGGGGCTGTCAGGAGAGTTCTCGTAAAGGAGCTGGCAGCAGGACCTGCCATGTCAGAGGCGTGGAGACTCGAGAAGGGAGTGTGATCTGCCACAGGTTCTGTCGTGGAGGGTGGCTGGAGTGGAGTGTGCTTCTGCCATGCAGGGCGAGTTGTGTCCTGGGCTGAGGCATTTATCCCAGAGACACGTTCAGCCATACATTTATTCCCTAAGCAGGATAGAAATGGGCCCCAGTCTCATGTGGTTGACAGTTGAACAGCATACGGGGAGCTCTTTGCAGGTTTTAAGCAGAAAAGAGACGTGGTGCTGTTTGTTGTGTATGCACATGCACGCACACACACGCACACACACACATATCAAACAATTTACAAAGGTAATACATGCATGTGATGAAAACTACCTGACAATACAAAAGCTTGTGTGTCTCTTTTCTCTTTATTTCTTTCTCTTTTTCTGTCTCTCTCTCTCTCATTTTGAGAAACGGTCTTGGTCTGTTGAGATCAAGGCGGCAGTGGCGCGATCATGGCTCACTGCAGCCTTGAATTCCTGGACTCATCTGTCCTCCCGCCTCAGCCTCCCAAATAGCTGGGACCACAGGTGCATGCCACCATGCCCGGCTAATTTTTTAAATTATTTGTAGACACAGAGTTTCATCATGTTGTCCAGGCTGGTCTTGAACTCCTGAGCTCAAGTGATCCTCCCACCTCTGCTCCCAAAGTGCTGTGGTTACAAGCCGGAGCCACCTGATTCTCCTCTTTAGACGCAGTCATTGTTATCTCTTTTTATTGTATCCTTCTAGAGGTATTCTATGCGTACACAGTGTATATACACAAAAGTATCTTCACTTTGCTCACTTTCAATAGTGAATGCTGAAAATCATTCTTAACACTTCGTAGTGATCTACTGCATTCTTCTGATGGCAAAAGAACATGACTAGGTGCACCTGCCATAATATAACTAGTGCCCTGGATGCACGTTGAGGTCGTTTTTTAGTCTTTTTGCTGCTTCACAGCTGCAGCGTGTATTCCTGGATGCGTGCTTTTGCACATGTATCCAAGTATATCTTTGGAATAAATTTCTAGAAGTGGAGTTATTTGGTCACAGGGCTTGTGCATTTCAGATTTTCTAGCTGCAGTTGCATTGCCCACCAGAGAGGTTGTATCAATTTGTTCTCTCACAGATAATGTACAGGAGTGGTTATTTCAGGAAGCCCCAGGTCAATTTTTTAATCTTTACAGATTTTCTGGGTTAAAAGGATGGCTGATGTTGAGCATCATTTTCTTTGTTCAGGAGCTCAGTTGTATTTCTTTTTCTATGGACAGCGATTTTGTGCCCACCTCTATTTTTCTTCCCCCCCTCCTTCCTTCTTTCTCTTTTTTTCCTTTTCTTTTTTTTTTTTGAGATAGAGCCCCACTCTATTGCCCAGGCTGGAGTGCAGTGGCAAAATGTTAGCTCCTGCAACCTCTGCCTCCCAGGTTCAAGTGATTCTTGTGCCTCAGCCTCTCTACTAGCTAGGATTACAGGTACACGCCATGACACCCGGCTAATTTTTGTATTTTTAGTAGAGATGGGGTGTCACCATGTTGTCCAGGCTGGTCTCGAATTTTTGACCTCAAGTGACCTGCCTACCTCGGCCTCCTGGAGTGCTGGGATTACAGGCTGGAGCTACTGAGGCTGCTCCTTTTTTTTGAGACAGGGTCTCACTCCATCACCAGGCTGGAGTACAGGGGCAGAATCATGGCTCACTGCAGCCTCAACCTCTCAGGCTCAAGCAGTCGTCTCATCTCAGCCTTCCAAGTGGCTAGGACTATAGGAATGTGCCACCACGCTCTGCTCATTTTTTTTTTTTTTGAGAGATGGGGTTTCACTCTATTGTCCAGGCTGGTCTCAAACTCCTGGGCTCAAGCAGTCTGTCTGCCTCAGCCTCTCAAAGTGCTGGGATTACAGGCGTGAGCCATCTCACCCAGCCTTCATCTCTATTTTCGTATTGTGTTGTTAGATTTTCTTCTTTCTTATTGATTTACGAATGCTCTTTACATATTAAGCAGATGAACTTTTTTCCTTTAGTAAGAGTTGTAAATAGTTTTTCCCCCAGTTTCTTATTTGTCTTCTGATTTTATGTTGTCACTTTTGAAAAGATTTCTTTTTTGTTTATGAAGTTTGTATTTTATATTTATGTTACCAGAAACTTAAACTAAGGTAGAGAGAAAGAGAAATATTTGAAAGACATAAATACTGTGTGTGTGTGTGTGTGTGTGTGTGTGTGTGTGTGTGGCAGGTAGAATGGAAAGAACAGGAAGTATTTTTTGAAGCTATGTTAATAGGTGACTTTTGAAGTCTTTTCAGAGAACTGAGCAACAGAGGCCTGAAAACAATCTTTAGATACTACAGTTCAGGGACAGGAGATAAAACGTGGAATTAAGGAAATAGAAAAGGAGCGGTCTGGTGTGGTAAATGCCACTGGAAAGGGCAGTAGGTGTCCCATGGCTGAAGGCTGTCAATGCCTCCAGAACCAGCCTTCCTTCCAGTGGCCTCGGTCCTAGCCACAGTCCTGTGTATCTGAGACTGGCAGATGAATGGTTAATGTCATTAACTCTGGGCCTTGTCTTGTATTTTGAGGCAGGGTGCTTACAAAGGGCAATTCAGTAAACAATTAATCTTATGGAATTGATGTAAAATCCTAATCATAGCAGCTGGGCACTGTGTCTCATTTCTGTAATCTCAGCACTTTGGGAGGCCAAGGCAGGTGGATCACTTGAGATCAAGAGTTTGAGACCAGCCTGGCCAACAAGGTGAAATCCCATCTTTACTAAAAATACAAAAAATTACCCAGGCGTGGTGATGTGTGCCTGTAGTCCTAGCTACTCGGGAGGCTGAGGCAGGAGAATCGCTTTGACCCAGGAGGTGGAGGTTGTAGTGAGCCAAGACTACACCAATGCACCCCAGCCTGGGCAACAAGAGTGAAACTCTGTCTCAAAAAAAACAAACAAAAAAAACTTAATTGTAGCAGCATCCTGTTACATATTAACATTTTCCCTTCTTCCTCTCCTTTCTCTGTATTTTTTGATAAAGGGCCCATCTAGAGGCTGCAGGGCACGTGTGCCTTCTGAGAGATGCCTTTGACTTTGAAAGCCCATCTGAGATTGCAAACCTCATCTTGGCTGAGAACTGTGAGGCTGCCCTGGCTCTTCATCTCTATAGGGGAGGCCGCCTTTTGCAAGGTAACCCTCTTTCTCTTCAAAAGTGAAATACCTGAAATACTGAAAACCAGAAGTGCCTTCAATGTCCAATAATATGGGAAACAATGTCTCCTATTTATTCAATTCAGAAATGGGAGACAGGCAATAATCTCTTTGATTTGTTTTCTTAGTGCATAATTTTCTTAAATGTTATAACTATGTCAATCAAGAATGGATGTGTATTGAAGCTGTTTTTACCATATTAAGAGTATCATCTGAATTTTGTTTGCTTTTTGAGACAGGGTCTTACTCTGTCACCCAGGCTGGAGTGTAGTGATGCAATCTCGGCTCACTGCAACCTCTACTTCCTGGGATCGAACAATCCTCCCACTTCAGTCTCCCAAGTGCAGGCCACCATGTTCCCTAATTTTTATTTATTTTTGCAGAGAGAGAGTTTCACCATTGTTGCCCAGACTGGTTTTGAACTCCTTTCCACTGGGGCAACACCCAAGTGATCCATCCTCCTCAGCCTTCCAAAGTGCTGGGATCACAGACAAGCCTGGCCCTGAATTTTTTCAATGCCTATTTCATCTTTCAAAATATATTTTTTCAAAAGGATTCTTTTACAAATATAAAAGAACACTTATGAAAGACATTATTCAACCCATCAATTTATGAGGAAACTACTAAGATGTTAAAACCAGCTTAAAGCACATTTGAGCAACTGGAGTTTAAATCAGCAATTTGATAAAGAATATCAGAGTAAATTCACTAGGTTAGTTGCGAACTAACTAACATCCAACAAGGCAGTGGGCCTCAAGCTTTGGAAGTATCTTTTCTACTGGACAGAAATGATTTACATCTCTCCCTGACACAAGGCTTCAAATGACTTAATGTAACTTCACAGAATGTGAGCTCTCAATTAATAGTACATAATGAAGTCAAAAAACAATACACTCTCTCAGAAAATTAATCTTCGGTGGACACTTTCAAATGTGGCGTCTTAGAACATTGCAAGAAAATGCATGTGCGCCTTATTTATTCTTATTGTATTCTTGACCTTATTTTCAGGCTGCAGAACATTTTTCTTAACACTGCGAAGACCCATCTGACTTTACTGAGAGTATACGAGGCACCAGATAAAGCAAGACAGATAGATTTGTTATTGTGCAGCCTGAGTGACTTTCCTCAAACATGAATTAAATGACACAGTAGTGGTAGCATTTGTGCTGCACTATTTTAAGGGTAATATATGAATATATAGCATGTCATTTGAGGATCAAAATTAGCTCCAGAAATCAACACACCAGAATTAAATTTTGGTCAGCAAAATGTGTCACACTTCTAAAATTTTTTGAAGTTTTTTGTTAATGGTGATTTTTAAAAAAAATTTCTTTACATTGTATCAAACCTTATTTAAGCTCCAGCTGTTTTTCCTGCCTCCTGTGCCTTAGGACGTTGAGCCCTCTCTGAACAGTATCTTCATATATGGGCACATCTTACTATGTGTTCTTTATTTTCTCAGGTAATACTTGAAAATTACCCCAGTGTAGAGTGAAATGTAACTGAGTGGTACAGTATGAAAAGCAAGCCTGTCTTCGCCTCTTATCCTCACTGTATTATTCCTCATTTCCAGAGGCAACCCACAGTTACCATTTTCTTGCGTATATTCTCCTAGAAATATATATATATATATATATATATATATATATATATATATATACTGTATTGGTTATCTATTATTACAAATTAACCCCCACACTTAGTTGCTTATAGCAGTACATTTGTTATCTAATAATTCCTGTGAGCATTCAAAAGCAGCTTAGCTGGGCGGCCTGTCTCAGGGTTTCCCATGAGGCTACAGTCTCATCTGGTGGTTTGACTGGGGCTTGCAGATGTGCGTCTATGATGGGGCACTCACAAGGCCATTGGTGGGAGACCTCAGTTCCCAAGGTGGACCCCTGATAGCTCCGCAGGGACCTTTGAAAGGCTGTCACTGACTGTTGCCGCTCTTTTATGCAGTCACAAAGCCTCAGCCCTGAGCTTAGTGATTCTGTCGACTGTGAGTTATGTTGCTTTCTTTTCTTTGCTTCTTTGACTTTTAAGTTCAGCAGTACATGTGCAGGATGTGCAGGTCTGTTACACAGGAAAACGTGTGCCATGGCAGTTTGCTGCACAGATCATCCCATCACCTAGGAATGAAGCCCAGAATCCATTAGCTAGTCTTCCTGATGCTCTCCCTCCTCCCACCCCACCCCAAAAAAGTTGTGTTGTTTTCTGTAAAGCGAAATCTATTTAGTAGTTTTTCTTCTTTTTTTTTTTTTTTTTTTTTTTTTTCTCTTTTCTTTTTTTGATACAGAGTCTTAATCTGTGGTCCAGGTTAGAGTGCAGTGGCATGATCTGGGCTCAAGGCAACCTCCGCCTAGCAGGTTCAAGTGATTCTCGTGCCTCAGCCTCCAGAATACCTGGAATAGCTGGGATTACAGGCCTATGCCACCACGCCCAGCTGATTTTTGTATTTTTAGTAGAAACAGGCTTTCAACATGTTGGCCAGGCTGGTCTTGAATTCCTGACTTAAGGTGATCCGCCTGCCTTGGCCTCCCAAAGTGCTGGGATTACAGTCATAAGCCGCTGTGTGGCCCCTTTTGTTTCTTTTAAAGGGTTTTATGCACATACGGGGAACATTTTATTCCCACAAATGGGATTTAGATCTGTGTATTTAACTCCTAGCTTAGCTACTTTTCCAAATCCACAAAGCCATGTCTATCATATTCTTTTTATTGGCTGTGATGTATGCCACTGTGAGAATGCACCACACTTATTAAAAGTCTCTCTCTTGTTTTTTTTTTTGTTGTTGTTATTTCAAGGAAGGTTGGAGTATTTTCGATTATATTTCTTTACTCCACTGTATGAGGATATTGGAAATATAAATTCCTGGGAAAACCTGTGGGCCAAAGGGCTGTGTAATTTTTGTTTTGATTGACAGTGACAAATTACTGTATGGAAGGGTTATTCCAGTTCATAATCTACTAACAGATGGGCAAGAGCCTATTTCTCCCTTAGTCAGTTTGCTGGGTTTTTGCTTTTCTTTCCTTCACTTACAGTTCTCAATTTTACCATGCTTGATCTCTGCTGCAAATAAACACAAAGTCATCTGAAATTAGGTTTGCTTCTCCTGAGAGTTGAAGGTGGAGAGGATTCCTCTGCAAAACCAGCCCGTTCCCAGGGGAGAAATCAATTGCATTGCTCAGTCTCGCAAACACTGAGAACTGAAGCCATGCTACTCTGAGTACATTTGGTTAAACTTTGGCTTGTTCGTTCCTGAGTGTTGTCCATATGGAAGTTAAACAGTGTTTATTCCTCAGGGTTATGTTTTCGAAGGTTAAATCTCTGTGTAGCATAACGTGTAAAAAGCACTAGCACCATTGTCAGTAAGAAGAGCTGCCTGTGTACCGCGAGCTCTTCACGTAACAAGGTGTCGGGGACTTCCTCTGCACCGGTTGCAGATGGCGAGTTGCCCTACCCTGTGGCTAACTGGCTGTGTGATAGTTCATTCTATGCATACACTATGCATTTCTTAGACAGTCTCTATTGATTAAACTGTAATTTAAAATACATAGCAGTTATTGACATTAATTTTTTTTCAGATGGTATTTTTATTTTAATTTTTTAATTTTTTTTATTTTTAAACAAAAGAATCCAAAATTTATTATGTAGGAATGACAACAGTAAATTTAAATGCCATCATGTGTATTCCCTGTGCCTTTTTTAAATTATTGTATTTTAGGCTGTCGGGTACAAGTGCAGATCATGCAGGGTTGTTTTATAGATACTTACATGGTAAGGTGCTTTGCTGCCTCCATCCCCCATCACCTATATCTGGCATTTCTCCCCATGCTATCCCTCCCCAACCTCCACACCCCCCACTGTCCCTCCCCTAGCCCCCCTCAACAGACCCCAGTGTGTGACGCTCCCCTCCCTGTGCCTATTTGTTCTCATTGTTCAACACCCGCCTATGAGTGAGAACATGTGATGTTTGATTTTCTGTTCCTGTGTCAGTTTGCTGAGAATGATGGTTTCTAGATTCATCCATGTCCCTAAAAAGGACACAAACTCATTGTTTTTTATGGCTGCATAATATTAAATTACTTATGGAGGTGACTTGGAAACTAGGTAAAAATACAAAAAAGACAATATGGCACCTGCAAGTTCGCCACCCAGAGATGACCACTGTTTGTGTGTGTGTTTTTGTTTTTTATTCAAAATTGACTTTGCAAAAAAGATACACTTTTACAATATAAGCTTGCAACTTCTTTTTAAAAACATCTGTAGGCTGAGCATGGTGCCTTATACTTCTAATCCCAGCACTTTGGAGGCCAAGGCAGGCAGATCACTTGAGGTCAAGAGTTTGAGACCAGCCTGGCCAACGTGGTGAAGTCCCCGTCTCTACTGAAAATACAAAAAACAAAAAAAAAAATGCTGGATGTGGTGGTGGGTGCCTGTAATCCCAGCTACTTGGGAGGCTGAGGCAGGAGAATCGCTTGAGCTTGGGAGGCGAAGGTTGAAGTGCGCTGAGTTCATGCCCCTGCACTTCAGCGTGGGCAGCAGAGTGAGACTCCGTATCGAAAAAAAATTAATCTATATATTAAAACAAATATATTTTATATATTTAATTATGTATATTTATATCTATATATATTTATTATATATAAGATATTAAAAAATTATTTGTGGAGTATTTAGTATGTGCTAAGCACTTTGATAAATGCTTTGAATGAAGAGATGTTACTGTATCTGACTCTTGCTCTGTAGTTTGTGTGTGTTTTTTAAAAATTGCAATCATATTATACTTATAATTTAGTAACCTACTTTGCAACATGTTAGAAATAGATTGTATATATTTCCTCTGTCACTGAATGTTCTTCTGCAGCATAGTTATGAATGGTCATGTCTTATTTCCCTTTTTCCCATCAGTTATAAACAATGTGATGAACAGGCTTCTGCATCAACCTTTGGAGCCCACTTTCTTTAGGATTTTCCAG